GGTACAGCTGATCCGAGACCTGGTCCCTCCGAAGCCTCCGGCACTGTGCCCAGCACCCTTCACCCCATCCCCTGCGGAGCTGTGGCCCAGACACACGCCTGCAGGCACCTGGCTCCATCAGACAAAGGGACCTCCCCTGGACACCTCACCACCCCCAGATGGCACAGGGGCTGCCGGGTCCAGACTGCACCCCGAAAGCATCAGGGTGGGTGGGGGCTCTGACGGCTGAGCGTTCAGGGCAGTCCCTCCCCACCCAGGCCAGGCACGGGGTCCACAGCTCAAGGGTCAGGTGCCTCAGGGGGCCACACAGGGCAGACCTCAAGTGCCGGGGAGCAGGTGTCTGTGATACAGCACCCTTGCTGCCACCAGGGGAGGGGACTCAGGGAAGCCACTTCCTGCTGTTGGGCAGTAACACACACACACACACGCACGCACACGCACGTGCACACACGCACACAAATGGGACGGGAAGACACCAGGGTACACGCATGCATCTGTGTCCCCAGTGAGGCTGAGTCCTCTGGCTGCACACACTGCTGTGCACACACGCATGCGTGCACACACACCCACAGGGGCCCCATGGGAGCACGCATGTGTACGCAGATGCACACGATTAGCAGACATTCGTGTGTGTGTGTGCATCGGAGGGACAGACACGTGGACGCACAGACCCAACAGCTCATGCACGCACTGCCTTACACACTCAGACACACCTGCCTCATAAGAGCACACGGCAGTCTCCCCATTCCTCAGCCCCAGCCCAAGCCCCAGGCCAGATGGGCGGCCCCTCCCAGAGGTGCACACAGGCACCGCAAACTATAGCCTGACATTTCTATCTCAGATAAAACCAAAGCTCTGCCAGAAAAATGGGGTGCAGTGAAAAGGAGCCAAAATAGGGGATCAGCGCAGAGACTGAGCCAAGACCCACGCTTGCCTCTTCCCTGTAGGGTTAGGGTTCCCACCACACCCAGGGGCTCGCACATTCCCCAACCCCACCCACTTCTGGGTGGTCTGCACCTCTGAGGAAGTTTTGATATCCAGAGCACCCCTTCCCCCACAAACTGGAGGAGCCCCACAGCCCACTCCCGGGCTGGGCTCTGAGCTCTTGCTCCTGAAGTCGGTCCCCAAAACATTCCTGAAAGGACGGTGACTGTTCCCAGGCAGCCCCTTGTGTGCAAGGCAAGTGGGGAGACCCCAGACAAGGGGGGCACCTCTGTCAAGCCCAGCGCCATGGGCACCCACCTGCTCCTGTCCCCCAGTCTGCTCTTCCAGCTTCAGCACCCCCAGCCCCTCAGGGGTGTTGAAGATCCGATCTGGTACTTGGAAGCTTCTGCCGGTCCTGGGGACGCCATGTGCCAGCTGTGCAGCCCGGGACCCTGCAGGGGGCTCCTGGAGCTCCCCAGCCACTCCTGCCCCCACCTTTGTTCCTGGGTGTACCCAACCAGCCTGGAGCTGGGGCAACTGGCTGCCGCGTCTGTGTCTCTGACAGACAACTTTGGGGGCCCACAGTGGCAGGAAAAGTATGAGGCTTGGGGCTGGCAGCACCCCCAGCCTCTGGGCTCCCCAGCCCGGTTCTGGGGCTGCACTCACCCCGGAGCATGGTCGGCTTTTTACAGGCTCTGCAAGGGAGACTAGAGCGCAGAGCAAATGAAACTCAGCCAGAGTGACAGAAGGGAGGGAGTGGGGGACAGGAGGGCAGGCTGTGAGGGAGGGACTCCTGCCAGCCCCGGGCCCAGAGGAAGGAGCTGCCTGCTCCCTGGCCCCCTCAACCCCAGGCAGGCAACAAGCCAGGCACGTCCTGCCCTGGCGAGGCCACAGGACATGGGTGGGGAGGGGCGCACCAGCGGGTTCTGTCCACAGAGACCTCAGGGACAGAGGGCTGCTGGCCCCTCCCTTGCCTGCCAGGAAGACCTTGCTGCAGTCTGTCCTGCCTCATCCTCCCCTGCCCGGCCCTTTCCATTACCTGCTTTTGTTGAAGGGTAAACTGAGGCTCAGAGAAGCTCATTTTGCCACAGAGCATTTGCTGCGGGGTGGCGGTAGGGGCCTGGGCCCTGCTACTTGGAATGGGGGTCCCCGGCTCAGCTGAGACCCCACCCCCGCTGGAAGCTGCAGCCTGCTCACCTGCGCCCCTGCACACCTGGCACCTGGCACCTGGCAACTGGGAGGGACAGAAGATTGGGAGAGGGCCAGTGAGGCTGGATCAGTCTGCATTCCAGACTCCAGCCCTATCTCCACGGACAATGGCCTGGAATCTCCAGACTTGACTGCCAGGCAGCCCAGAAAACAAAACAGGTTTTCGAGACCAGGAAGGTGCTCTGGGGGACGGAAAGGAAGGGAGCCCAAGCCAGAGCTCCCCACCAAGGCAGGCAGAACCTTTGTCCCACACCTCGCCCCTCTCCTGGCTCCAGGCTGCTGATGGCCAGGGTCCAGGAGGTTAGGGGAGCAGCGCACCCTCAGGACAGAGTCAGCGAGGAGGAACCAACCACACTGGGAGGTGAGCATGGCAGTGCTCTGGGAGCCTGGGCCCTGATGGACTTGAAATTAATCCCCCTGCGGCTGTGGGGGGGGGGCAGGGACTCAGGTGTGAGCTGAGCTCGCAGTCTTTGATCTTGGGGCAGCAGCGGCAGGAAGAAGGCTTCCAGGAAGAGGAGAGGAGGGGCCATTTGGGCAGGAGCTGACCCTGGCCCCCGGTGTCCTGTGTCCCTCCTGTCTACCCTGCCCTGAGCAGTTCAGTAGCCAGGGCTGAAGCCATTTCTTCCTTCCCTGGCTTTCTGAGCTTTTTGTTTTGTTTTGTTTGCTTGTTGAGGCAGGGTCTCACTATGTACCCCAGGCTGGCCTTAAACTTGTGTGATCCTCCTGCTTCAGCCTCCCCACTGCTGGGATCACAGGTGTGCACATCGGCTGCTCTCCTCGCCAGGGCTAGGCTCGAGAGGATTTAGAGTCAGAGGCCAGGATCCCAGCCCGCCGTGTGGCCTTGGGGAGGTGGCTTATCCTCGCTGCTGTGCAGGGTGTGGACGGAGGTCGTCACCTGCTCCTGGGCCGCCTGCCCTGCTGCAGGTGGGGGGACTTTGTGAGCAGAATGGCTCTTGAGCAGGGGCAGGCAGGTCACAGCTTCCCACCCGTGTCCCTGTGGTCACAGCGAGGAAGCCTGAGCCAGCACTTGGTCTCTGCAGGTGTGGAAGAACCAAGCACACTTGTCCTGGCACGCAGGTGTGCATGTGTGTGTGCACACGTGTGTGATGGTCAGCAGGGTCACTGGGGACAGGCGGGAGGCGGGGAAGTGAGGGTCCCCAGGGTGTTGGCAGGAGGACCCCAGAGCTGGGTCTGGCTGAGGAGCCGGCTCCCCTCCTCACAGCCCCTGGCCCACCGGGGACAGGAGCTGAGAGGCTCCCGCCCTGTCTAACGCCTGTCACATGGACCCGAGCCCCACAGCCCCCTAGTCGGAGTGACAGCTCCCCGGAACAAGTGCCCTTCCTGGGGCGGCCCCGGGGGCTGAGGGTGTGGGGTGCAGCGCAGTGAGGCCCTCGCACTTGACCTGGCCTCCCCGGCTGGAGTCCCCAGGGGAAGCAGCATTCAGGGGGCTGCTGACCCTGCCCCTCCCTTGCCTGCTGTGCCCGACACGGGGCAGCTGCTGTTCTTGTCCCCCAGGCAAGGACACGGGAGGAATTCCACACCGCACCAGTGAGTGCTGGGTGTCACAGCCCACGGAGCCCAGAATCCCAGTCTCCCCAGGTCACAGGCCCCGCCCCCAGGCCAGGGCTCCATCTGCCCTCCACTGGGCTTGGGGTGCCCGGAGGACACCGACGACGTAACCGGCCGCTTAAGTACCAGGCAGGTGGCTCGTGGAGAGAGACGCTAAAACGGTGACCGCCCCAAAGCCACCCCTCCCTCCCTCCAGGGCCCCTTCCCAGCCTGCACGGAGCCCGCTCTGCTGCACCAGGGCCCGGGGCCCAGCCTTCCATGCCATCCCTTTCTTTCTCATGACCCCTAAGCCTCACTCCTCTCCTTTGCTGGGGACACCAGGAAACAAATTACTCCCGCCCAAAGTGCTCCAGTGAGCCACGCGCCCTGGCACACCCCTGTAATCGGAGCGAGTCAAGAGGCTGAGGCGGGAGAATTGCAACACTCGAGCCCAGCCTGGGCAACTTAGCAAGACCCTGTCTCAGAATAGAAAAAGGGCTGGGGCTCCAGCTCCACGGCAGAGCTCTTGACACACTGGGGACCCTACAGACTCAAGGCCCAGCCCACACCCCACGGCCCGGCCCTCCATCCTCCACCAGCGAGTCACCGAGACCTGCACACGTCTGTCCACACACGTGCATCCGAACGCTGGGTGCACGGAGCCTGGTTTCCAACCTCTCTCCCCTCGCCCCGACCTCCTTTCCTGCCATCCCCAGAAGCACGGGCCTGTCACCTGGGCTGGCACAGCACACCCCTGCTCTCTGTGCCTGGCTCAGCCCCGAAGTCAGACTCAGTCAGGCTGGGGGGGTGCTCTGTGGCCCCAGCACATTGTGTTCATGGAGGGGGACAGAGCAGGTGCCCCATGAGTGTCACCCAGAGGACATGCAGCTCCCAGGCAGGAGTCTGAGGTCAGCGTGGCCCCGGCAAAGCACCGAGCTGGGCTTTGAGATGCATTTCGGTAGCTGCAGCCTAGGAGCAAAGGGCGAGGATGCTCAGGCCTCCTGCACCCGGCGGCTGTGACACTGGGTCCACCCTGCCTGTCAGCTGGTATCTCCTCACCCAAGGCACGCAGTCACCCATTCCCCAGAAATCTGCTCCGCAGTCGGGGGAAGGGGCCTCCTGGGCCTCCCAGCATCCAGCCCCTGCAGACCCGGCCCTCAGAGCAGGGCCTGCCAGTGACAGGAGGCCTTGGCTGAAGGCTCACCCTGCAGCAGGCTCGAGCTGAGCCTAGGGCTCGGACCCCAAAGGTCCCTGGGAGGCCCCCAGAGTCAGGGTCTCCCAAAGGCCTGAGGATCCCCATCCGAGCCCTGCACACTGACCTGGTTCCGAGGGCCCAGGGCCCAGGCGCAGCTGGCGCAGCCGCCGCTGGTGTGCTCGCCCCCCGCAGTGCACCTGAGCCTGGGCCTCCGAGTTGAGCTGGATGTTGCACACAGCACACAGCGTGTACGATGGCTGCTTCCGCTCCCGCTTGGCCTTCGGGGCCTCTGGGGGCCGTGGGGGGCACTCGGCAGCTCCGGACTCAGGGGGCTGTCTCTCACCCGGGGGGCCAGGGCTCAGCGGGCGTTTCATGCCTGCACAGGGATAGAGGGAGACAGAAAGAGGCTGAATGGCTGCAGCCCAGGAGCAAGAGAGGCCCAGGGCCGACAGCCCTGCTTTCCAGAGGTCCCGGCCCAAGGATGGCAACAGGGGGCGTCAGGTGCTATTTCCGGCAGAGCAAAATGCAGACCTTTAGGGAAAGGTGTCGTGGGAAGTGGACACAGCGGGAGGCGGAGACACCCGGGACTGGGGCCAAGGTGGAGCGAAGAGGGGATGCTCAGCCTTGGCCACCAGGTGGGCCCTGGGGCGCAGCAGCCAGCGGAGTCACGTTCTGGGACGCGGCAGCCCTGGGGCGGGAGACAGACGGCACCAATGCAGACACAGAGCCTCGGGCCAGAAGCCCAGCTTCCCTGTGCCCTGCGCGGGCAGGGTGACACGGGGTGACAGCCTACAGGCCATCCCCACCCTGTCCCACGCGGCTCCAGAGCCCCGCTGTCTGAGATGCCCCAGTGGAGGGTCGTGTTTGGGTAGGGACGGGCCCCTGCGGGCTGGGAGACCCCAGGCTCGGTCTTTCTCCTGTCACAACGGTGCCCCCATTCCTGTGTTGAAGCCCTAACCTCGGTACCCCAGAATGCGGCTGTATTTGAAGACAGGGTCTTGAAAGAGGTAACTGAGTTAAGATCGAGTCACATGGGTGACCCCTAACCCACGTGACTAGTGTCCTCGGAGGAAGAGGAAATTTGGGGACATGAGGGATGACTGCTGGAGGAGATGCTGGATGTTTAAATTTAAAAACTAATTTTTAACAATAAAAGACACATTGCCAGGAATGATTCGATAAGTGTGTTCCAAGCCAGGAGATTTTGAGGATTTTGAGAGGGATTCATGGCAATGTCTTTTACTATAATACATCTTTAGATTTAAACATTCACCTTCTTGTATGATCATCCAGTGTTGATCAAACATTTACAGCAATTTCCATCAAATGAAAACATGATACTGCATCCTCATCCACCTTATCCACTGGATCTGGAACTGTGTGACTTCCAGACGCTCCTCAAAATCAAAATGACCATGAAGGGAGACGTTTGGAATTGATTCAGGGCATCAAGGCAGCCAGGACCACGCAACTAAAGACACTCAGGAAAGAGGACTCCAGAGCCGCTGCAGGAAGTAGCAAGGACAATGGGATGAGTGCGTCTGAAGCAAGGGGAAGAAATTTAAGGGGGATTCATGGCAATGTGCACTGTAAGCAATTATTAAAACAATTTTTAACATTCTCCATATTTGGGGGGGTACTGGGTATCAAACTCAGATCCTGCAGGGAACCACTGAGCTAAATCCCTGGCCCCACATTCTCCATATTTTTGATCCAACCTCGTAGTTAGAGGGGAGATAATACACAGGGAGAAGGCAGCCTCTGCAGAACCAGGAGAGAGCCCTTAGGGGAAACCAACCCTGTTGGTATCTTGGGTTCTTTTTTCTTTTTGGAGACAGAGTCTGCCCAGGGTGGCCTTGAACTCAAGATCCTCCTGCCTGGGCCAGGGATTTAGCTCAGTGGTTTTGCCGCCTGCTGGGCAAGCACAAGGACCCGAGTTCAATCCCCGGCACCAAAATAAAATGAAATAAAATAAAATAAAATAAAAAATCCTCCTGCCTGAGCCTCCCAGAGTGCACTATTACCCCTGACTCCTGGTGACTTTTTTTTTTTTTTTGGTTTTTTGAGACAGGGACTCCTTTGTAGTTCAGGCTGGCCCTGAACTCACCATGTAGCCCAGGCCGGCCTCAGAGTCACGGCGATCCTCCTGCCTCTGCCTCCGGAGTGTCACAGGCTTTCGCCACCACACCTGGCTCCTGCTGACTTCTCGATCTCAGACCTTTAGCTTCCAGAGCTGTGAGAAAGTCAGTTTCTGTATTTTTAAGCCAGAGACAGCTGGCAAAAACTACTGCTTCTCTCTGACCGGCATTTCCGGGGCCTGAGTGCCCTGCACCTCAGACTAGTTAGGTGAAGTCGGGATGTCTTGCAAGATCACACATTCTGTGCCAGGCGTGGGGTCATCCCAGCACTCGGGAGGCTGAGGTAGGAGGACTGCCACGAGTTCAAGGCCAGTCTGGACTGCACATTGAGAGCCTGTCTCAAACACACACACACACACACACACACACACACACACACGGTGCTGAAGTCCTGACGCCCAGCACTTCGGGGTGACCTCTGGAAACAGGTGATGCTGAGGCCATATTGGTGCGCCCCTAACTCAATTCCTGTGACAATAAAGCAGAGGTGGAGGAGGGGGGAGGGGTGTGAAAATGGAGGTGAGCAGTGGCCCGCACCAGCTCCCCGCAGTGAGTGTTATCATTACGCACTGCGGACCTGCATGAATAAAGATTCGCAAAAATAAAAAATGAGCAGAGTTAAAGCCACGCATCTACAAGTCAGGGCACCACCACAGCCCATGACCCACTGAATCTGGGGCTGGGGGGCTTCGAAGCGAGCCCTGGGTGCCAGTCTCGGGCCAGGACTGGCCCAGTCCACACCGGGAGGCCTGAGCGCCCCCACTGCTCTGCTACAGCATCCCCAGCGGCTGGAGGCCTTGGGTCTGTCCCCTTGGGCCCATGGTGCCTCCAGACGCATGTGGGGCCTGGCTGGAGTACCAGGGGCGCAGCCAGCGTCTAGGAAGGCACCCTGGCAGGGCGCCCACTCCCCGAGCCTCAGGGCCCAGGCACAGCTCTCCCCTGCGGGGAGGTGAAGGGAGATCCAGTGCAGCCTGACACCCCCAGCTGGTCCCCAGCCCTCCTGGCAGGAAGCTGAGGCAGGAAGCTGTTGGGGTGGCCCAGGTGTCAGGGCCTGGAGGAGGCCTCAGAGGAATGAAGTGTTGCTGGCCGTGCCAAGGAGACCAGCCAGCCTGGCAGCAAGGGAACAGGGACATTTTAAAAGCTCAGTGAGGTTTATGACAGGCAGGCCAGGGATGCGGCCCAAGAGCAAAGACAAATAAACCTCTGTGACACAGCCTGGCCCACAGCTGCCCAGATCCCCTGCCAGCACGCTGGCCCTGCCACAGCCAGCCTGCCTGACTCAGCCTCCCCAGCTGTCCCCACAGGAGCCAGAGCTCGTGGCAGGGGATGGAGGATGGGCAGCCTCGGGGCCTGCCCAAGCCCAGCCCCTCAGCACCAGCCAGGCTCGCCCCAGGTGACCCACGTTCCCTTAACACACGGACAAGCTGAGTCCAGAGCCAGGCAGTAGACTTGCTTCAGAGAAAATGGAAAACTAGAACATGAGTGGATTCTAAAAGGTTCTCTATCCCTCTCCTGCCTAGACCTTTTCTTTATCGTAACTCCATTTATTGAGGGTGCCTTACACAGTCTTGTTAAGTTGCCCAGGCTGGCCTCCAGTTTAAGATCCTCCTGCCTCAGCCTCCTAAACAGCTGAGATTACAGGTGTGCAACGCCTTGCCCGGTGCACTCACACACACACACACACACACACACACACACACACACACACACACACACACAGTCCTGGGAATTGAACCCAGGGCCTTCACACTGAACTACATCCCCAGCCCTTTTTATTTTTTATTTTGAGTCAGGGTCTTGCAAAGTTGCTAAATTGCTCAGGTTGGGCTCCTCCTGCCTCAGCCTCCCAGGGTGCTAGGATGACAGCCATGCACCACCAGGCTTGACTCGAGCTCTCTCCACCCTCACTAGCCCCTGTGGTGGGCTCTGGTGTCTGCCTGGTTCCCCCTCCCAGGTCAGAGCACAGGCCAAGTTTCCATAGACCGACCCAGCACAGCTGTCTGACACGGAGCCTCAGAAGTGGCCAGGCCAGGCGTGAGGGGAGGAAGGCCGGGCAGAAGCAGAGAGGAGGTGGGGCAGACCCTGCCTGTCTGCCTCCTGTCTGTCGGTATGTGTGCCTGGGACGGGGCTCCCTGTTTGCCACCTTCCCGGGGAGAACGGCTGAGGCTGGGCCTGCCCCCCTGGGTGGTGAGTCTGTCCCGGCGGAGCTTGGGGACGGGTCGGGAGCCCTCAGCCAGAGGGAGCAGGCTGGAGGTGCCGGGCTCGGGGGACAGAACCCCTGTGCCGCCTAGGGGCGAAGGAGGCCCGACTTTACACCCGGGGAGGAAGGCTGGGCCGAGTGGGGACTGAAACGGCTCCCAGGGTTGGCTCTGAAGGGGAGGTGCCGGGAGGGGTTTCTGGCCCCCTGAGAGTGCGGCCACATGGGCATGAAGCCCACCAGGGAGGGCGGGGGCAGCGCTGCTGGCCTGATGTCCTGCAAGCCCTGCCGCCTTCCGCAGTAGGGAAACGGGAAGAGAGCGTGAGCTAAAGGCAGGGACAGACGAGGCGTCAAATCCAAGAGCCCGGTGCGCCCGTCCCTGCTGGTGCCCGCGTGGGTCCCATGCTCCCTCACTTCCCGTGCCCGCCCCGCAGTCCCCCCAGCATCCCTTGCGGCCCGAGGCTCCACCCCCATCCCTCAGCCTAGGCACCGATCGATGATCGATGGCTCCGTGGGTCTCCTCTGGCCTCATCTCGCAGGCTGCACCCTGACACTCACCTGCGACCCCCACGAGGCGGGGCCTTGATTTCCCAGGGGTCTGTGACGCCGGCCTGGAGCCCCACACACGCCCGGCTGAGGTCCCATAAAGGGTCATCGAATGAATGAATGAGCTCTTGTCCCAGGAGACAGCAGGGACTCTCCCTGCGGGACTGAGTGGCTCTGCAGCAGCTGCCAAAACAAGCTGCTCAAACGCAGCTCCTCCGAGGGGCGAGGATCTCAGGGCCCCACGTCCGCCCGGCCACCAGGGCTCTCGCCCGCTGGCCACAGCTGCACAGCCCACGCCTCGCGTCTGTCAGTGTGGAGCTGCAGTTGCTGACTTGGAAGGGATCTTAGAGGTCACCCTGGCCCTTCTGGAGCAGCTCTGACGAGTTACCCTCTGTCCCCTGCTCCGTGTGCCCAGTCGGGGAGCTCCTACCGCCAGGACGGCCACCCCACTGTCGTCCAGCTGGCACCCGGGCGGGGGCCGAGCCTGTTCTCTGT